TCCGCAGCCGCCAGTCGCGGCATGCAGGGTGGATGTTTGTTTGATGTGTGTGTATGCTTGTTCGTTTGTCGGTTGATGCTTGATGTTCGTGTGATCGTTTGCGCGTTTGTTTGATGCATGTTTGCTTGTTCGCGCATGCGCATTGCTGGTTGTTCCAGGGGGGTCGGGCGGGCGAGCGGCCGAAGGCATCTGCGTAGCTGAGTATTGCCACTGCCGTGATGCACTCCCCCGCAAATGCCTTGCAATGCGCACCGACCTTGTGAACAATGCGCTTGCTAAAAAACTTCGCTGGCAGTGGCCTCATCAGGTGTCTGTTCGGCTCCGCGAACCCCCGCGCGTACTCGTCGAGCTGCTCCATGCTAACGTGGTCCCCTCGCACAAGCTCGAGGCAGAAACCATTGACCATATATTGTGCGACTCCTCCGCTGGCTGCCAGCGTATGCATCCAATCGTAATATAATGCACTCGCAGGTTTCCAAATGGGGCGGAGCACCTGGCACCACATCACACCATCTGGGTCAAATGTTAAACCGCATGATTTCTCCTCCAGCTCAAATGCGCCCTTTGTGCAACCTCCCGCCTGCCACAAATCGTACGTTGCCTTTATCTTGTCTGCCATCTCAAACATCGAACCGTCGGTGTGCTTGTCAAATCTGTGCGGCATCATCACAGCGGCGTGTCCTATGTACTCGTCTGGAGAAAAGTCTAGGTTCAACCCGTAATAGACATTCTTACACGCAGCGCAACATGAATTTCCTCCTGCCCCTTTTACCCCGTAGCACTCCTTGTGTGCCTTCTCGTCTTGAATCATCGCTGATATCGTTGATTTGATTGCAGTCAGACGGCCATCGCCATCGGGAACAGCGATGCCGATGTCCAGATTTTCCCTGCTGAGGAACATCATATGAAATATATGTTTGAGCAATCCTGAATACCCGCCGCGAACCTTTTGCATTTGGGAATACCGAATGAACCCTATCGGAGTCCACCCCTGATCCGTGCAACGCCACCATTCGGGTAAATCGGTCCATACATCCGCCGCCGCGCCACCTGGCGCGCTAAGGCGGGAGGCCCCCATTTACGGGAACACTTAGACATGACAAGCCCATGCCTCAGAGACCCCAAACTCCCAAACGCGAACAAAACAAAACTCCGACACCCCAGAACCCCAGAGCTGCAAAGCCAGAGAACTCGTGGTCATGGTCGTGGTCGGGGTCGTCGTCCTCGCCGTCATCGTCGTCGTCGCCGTCGTCGTCAACGTGTCGTCGTCGTCGTCGTCGCCGTCGTCGCAGTCGCAGTCACCGTCGTCTGGACTGGTGGAGTGGCGGGCCGCGCCGCAGGCACGTGTAAAATAGACTGCAACGTGTTTTGTTGCAAAATCGGGCCTGAGTTGGTTGCCCGCCGTCGATTCGTCTCCCCAGAAAGCACATTTTGATATTTTTCCACCAATATGTTCTCTGATAAACCTCGCGTATGATGGAGATTGTCTGCACAGATAATACGTCAATGACAATGGGTTTGCCACGGGCCAAGAATATGAGGTACCGTCGCTCAGAGGTAAATCCAAAGTTTGAATCACTGGCCCATAAGGCGTGGACAACTCAGACACGTACTTCCGCACACACGCATTCACATCTGCGAGGGGAGTGTCCACAGTCTCCTCATCGCACAAGTTCTTTAGGATGCGAGTCAATTGGGCGCCTGATGCTTTCAGCCCTGCAGCCTGCAGCGCCTGGATGACTTTCGGTTTTTTCTTGGGGGGGTCCATCCTGAACCAAAACGGCTGTCAAACGAGGCCCGAGGGCGCGCGTGTGCGTGCGTGTGTGTGTGTGGTGGGGAATGTATTCTGCGGGGTATTTTTTCCTAACTTTTCCTAACTTTTCCTAACTTTTCCTAACTTTTTCGCAATCGTCGCTAACTTTTGATAAGTATATTATAACAAGTTATAACTATTTTAGACGACTCATAAATCAATCTAGTAACTCTGGCGTAAGTGAGGCAACTGAGTTATATATGATTCAATAAAGCAAGCGAGTTGTTATATCTAGATGGTACTTCCCACGCTATTACTAAACATTTAGGGTGTGATTACCTGACTTATTGTATGACTCGGCAGGTTTATAGATTTGCTTGCCAGTTCTACAAACCAAATTGCAACTCACTCAAGACCAAACCTCGCGAAGTATGCAGTCAGGTCGTCCGTCCGGAAACGGTGCCGGAGGCCGCTCTGGGCTCCTCTGGGCATCCCCCCCGGGGCCCGTTTTGTGAGGATGCCTCAGGCGAGGGCGCCGGTTTGGGATTCGTCACCGGATCCAGCGGATCCAGCGGATCCGTCCGGAAACGGTGCCGGAGGCCGCTCTGGGCTCCTCTGGGCATCCCCCCCGGGGCCCGTTTTGTGAGGATGTCTCAGGCGAGGGCGCCGGTTTGGGATTCGTCACCGGATCCAGCGGATCCAGCGGATCCGTCCGGAAACGGTGCCGGAGGCCGCTCTGGGCTCCTCTGGGCATCCCCCCCGGGGCCCGTTTTGTGAGGATGTCAGGCGAGGGCGCCGGTTTGGGATTCGTCACCGGATCCAGCGGATCCAGCGGATCCGTCCGGAAACGGTGCCGGAGGCCGCTCTGGGCTCCTCTGGGCATCCCCCCCGGGGCCCGTTTTGTGAGGATGTCTCAGGCGAGGGCGCCGGTTTGGGATTCGTCACCGGATCCAGCGGATCCAGCGGATCCAGCGGATCCGTCCGGAAACGGTGCCGGAGGCCGCTCTGGGCTCCTCTGGGCATCCCCCCCGGGGCCCGTTTTGTGAGGATGTCTCAGGCGAGGGCGCCGGTTTGGGATTCGTCACCGGATCCAGCGGATCCAGCGGATCCGCGGATCCGGAAACGGTGCCGGAGGCCGCTCTGGGCTCCTCTGGGCATCCCCCCCGGGGCCCGTTTTGTGAGGATGTCTCAGGCGAGGGCGCCGGTTTGGGATTCGTCACCGGATCCAGCGGATCCAGCGGATCCAGCGGATCCGTCCGGAAACGGTGCCGGAGGCCGCTCTGGGCTCCTCTGGGCATCCCCCCCGGGGCCCGTTTTGTGAGGATGTCTCAGGCGAGGGCGCCGGTTTGGGATTCGTCACCGGATCCAGCGGATCCAGCGGATCCGTCCGGAAACGGTGCCGGAGGCCGCTCTGGGCTCCTCTGGGCATCCCCCCCGGGGCCCGTTTTGTGAGGATGTCTCAGGCGAGGGCGCCGGTTTGGGATTCGTCACCGGATCCAGCGGATCCAGCGGATCCGTCCGGAAACGGTGCCGGAGGCCGCTCTGGGCTCCTCTGGGCATCCCCCCCGGGGCCCGTTTTGTGAGGATGTCTCAGGCGAGGGCGCCGGTTTGGGATTCGTCACCGGATCCAGCGGATCCAGCGGATCCGTCCGGAAACGGTGCCGGAGGCCGCTCTGGGCTCCTCTGGGCATCCCCCCCGGGGCCCGTTTTGTGAGGATGTCTCAGGCGAGGGCGCCGGTTTGGGATTCGTCACCGGATCCAGCGGATCCAGCGGATCCGTCCGGAAACGGTGCCGGAGGCCGCTCTGGGCTCCTCTGGGCATCCCCCCCGGGGCCCGTTTTGTGAGGATGTCTCAGGCGAGGGCGCCGGTTTGGGATTCGTCACCGGATCCAGCGGATCCAGCGGATCCGTCCGGAAACGGTGCCGGAGGCCGCTCTGGGCTCCTCTGGGCATCCCCCCCGGGGCCCGTTTTGTGAGGATGTCTCAGGCGAGGGCGCCGGTTTGGGATTCGTCACCGGATCCAGCGGATCCAGCGGATCCGTCCGGAAACGGTGCCGGAGGCCGCTCTGGGCTCCTCTGGGCATCCCCCCCGGGGCCCGTTTTGTGAGGATGTCTCAGGCGAGGGCGCCGGTTTGGGATTCGTCACCGGATCCAGCGGATCCAGCGGATCCAGTCCGTCCGAAACGGTGCCGGAGGCCGCTCTGGGCTCCTCTGGGCATCCCCCCCGGGGCCCGTTTTGTGAGGATGTCTCAGGCGAGGGCGCCGGTTTGGGATTCGTCACCGGATCCAGCGGATCCAGCGGATCCGTCCGGAAACGGTGCCGGAGGCCGCTCTGGGCTCCTCTGGGCATCCCCCCCGGGGCCCGTTTTGTGAGGATGTCTCAGGCGAGGGCGCCGGTTTGGGATTCGTCACCGGATCCAGCGGATCCAGCGGATCCAGCGGATCCGTCCGGAAACGGTGCCGGAGGCCGCTCTGGGCTCCTCTGGGCATCCCCCCCGGGGCCCGTTTTGTGAGGATGTCTCAGGCGAGGGCGCCGGTTTGGGATTCGTCACCGGATCCAGCGGATCCAGCGAGATTCCACCGGATCCAGCGGATCCAGCGGATCCGTCCGGAAACGGTGCCGGAGGCCGCTCTGGGCTCGTGCTCTTCGCGCCGGGGGTGAGGATGACGTGAGTTCCACAGAAACTCCCTCAAAAAAACCTGGCCGCGGGCTGGACAACTATTGTTTGAAATTGTTCTCCTCCAGTCAGAAACTTGTGCAGAAATAGCAGAAGACTATTATTTAAATCGTTCGCTCCCATTGTTTAATTAATCGTCATCCCGCATTATCGGAGTAGTCACGACGGAGGTCTGCGAGCCTCGACCCCCGCTGCCCCCGCACGCCGGCGCGGGCTCGGGGGTGCTCTGCCCTGCCCCCAGGAGCTCGCACAGCTTCGCCCTCGGGACCCCTCGCCGACCCGCCGGCGCTGCATCTCCGATCCCAGGTCGATGCTTCCGATGCTTCCGACGCTGGCCCCGCCCAAGACCGCACGGCTTCGCCATCGGTAACCAGCCTCGAACGTATCCCTATCCCTAAGATGGGCGAGCAAAAAGCGAGGACAATCTTAGGGATAGGCCCTCAAAAACTGAGGGAATCCTTAAGATCGGCATCGAGGTGAGGTGATGTCAAACATAGGGATAGGGATATGTTCCAGGCTGGTAAATCGGGAGCATCGCCGACCCATCGGCGATGCATCTCCGATCTCAGGTCGATGCCTCCGATGCTGCCGACGCTGGCCCGGTGCGCCCCTTTTTGGCCCCCCCTCTCAGGAGCGAAGGAAGGACGTACCTGTACATGAATCCACGCTGGTTTCGAGAGTGCGCATTGCGCAAATGTTCGTGTAACGCGGCCAGTCTCGCGGATCGAGGGGCCGTGTTCATGTACATAGTTGGGCGCGTACGTCCTTTGTGGGCTCCCTACCCTCAAGGTGGCTCGGGGGTGGCGTCCTCCAGTCAGCCGCACAGGTCTCCACTGTCCAGGTCCGTTCAAAGGACGGCTGGCTTTCCTAACTTTGGGAACCTCTGGCCCTCTTTCTGCCTGCCGCCTCCTCTTGCCGGAATGTAGACGTCGGCCGAAGTTTTTTCCTGCCGCCTCCTCTTTCCCCGTCCTCGTCCCATCCTCGTCCTCGTCCTTTCCTCGTCCTCGTCCTCGTCCTCTTTTCTCGTACTCGTCCTCGTCCCCAGCTCTTCCTTCTGCCCCATGCCTTGTCCTTGCGCACCTCTCCTCGCCGTGCCGCCAGGCGTGTCGGTGTGCCTCTGCCCCGAGGCTTGAATTTTCTCCAGCCAGTCCGCGCATGGAGGGCGGGTGGTCTGCAGGCTGGGGCCGCGCACGTTCGGCCGACAAGCCTCCAGCAGCAGCAGGGATGGACGGGGGCCTGTCCTCGGAGCGTAGCTCTCGCGTCCGCGCCGCGCGCTCTCGTCTCGGCAGTCTCCGGCAGAAAAAAGAGGATGGAGGGCTGGAGCCTGGAGGGCAGATCCCCCATCGGTCTGTGGCTCTCGGGTGGTCTGCAGGCGGTTTCGCGTCCTGCACACCCCCGGCAGTGCCGCCCCTGGCAGCCTTTCGAGAACGTCCGAGTTCCGAGTTCCGAGTGGCTCTCGGTTGAGACTCCCTCGGACTTCACTCAAGAGACTGACGCCATTCCGCCGACCGCCAGAAGAGGGTGCGTGTGCGGCCTCCTTGCCAGTTCGCTTTTCGGTGCCCCCGTCTAGCTCTATCGCTGGTGCAGCCAACTCTGCCTCGCCGCCAACGAAAAGTGTGTGTGCTGCCTCCGGCCCGTCGTGCTGCCTGCCTGTAGATGTTGATGGTTTGTCCTCATTCTCTGCCGCGTCTGTTGCGGGGCCTCTTGGGAGCCGCTTGAAGGCCTCGAGGGTGGCCTCTTGGGGAGCCTTTTTCAGGCCTCCTCCGCCCCTTCTCCTTCTTAACGACTCCTTCTGCATAGCATTTCGTGTGTTGCACAATTTTTCGGAACTTGGTGTGTGTGTGTGTGTCTCGCAGTTCCACTGCATGTCTGTATGTCTGGTCTTAGCACGCCCCGACAGCTGTTTGCGGTGGTGGTTCGCTCCTTCGTTCGTCCCCTGTCGCGCCATCAGACGTGTTCGATGGCTAGGCCGGACGTTTTCCTTGAGACTTACTTGCTCGGGGCTCAAGAGACGGGGGTCAGTGCACGGGGGTCAATCAGAGCTCCGCGTCTTGACCAGGGTTTGGGTGAAGCCTGCAGGGATCCTGCAGGGCCAGGGGCGCACTGACCAGGGTTTGGGTGCAGCCTGCAGGATCCTGCAGGATCTTGCCTGCAAGGCCGCACTGACTGGGGTCTGCATTGACCTGCGTCAGAAGATCCCAGACTTGCCATTTGCCAGCCCGAAATCGAACAATCCTGACAGCTATTCGGCGGGATGGGGTCCGTTCCAAGAACTGGGCTCTCGCCGTCGCGTCGCGCACATTCGCGATACGAGCTTCGGACAGTCACACGGATGGGGGGGCGGTTCCTTTTCAAATGGGGCTCTCGCCGTAGCGCCGCGCACGCTTTCTAGGCCTCCTCAATGGGGTCCGCGTAGATGAGATCGGAGGATCGCGCCGCATCGCGGATGCATCAGCGATGCGGCTCGATGTGGAGTCCGATTTGCTTCACGTTGACGTCGCCGATGCATCGCCGACGTCCACTATACATCGCTGATGCATCGCCGATGCATCGCCGATGCATCGTCGATGTATCGGCGATGCGGCGCGATTCTCCGACCCCCTTTTCTAGGAGGCCTCTATCAAATGGAGCTCTCGCCGTATCGCCGCGCACGTTTGTTTCAAAAGCTTGCAGCGGTGACGCGGACGGGCGCCAGTTGGTTTTCAAACTGTTGCTTCCGCCCGAGATTTCCGCTTCGACGCATTTCATCTTGTAGCGCCATGCTACAGTTACGCGGGTGGAGGGCGGTTCCTTTTCAAAGCGGGGTTCTCGCCCTGTTTTTCCCGGAAAGGGCGTGGGCCCAGGGTTCTCTTTTAGTTGGTTAACCCCCCAGCCCCCCTGCGACTTGGGCCGGCGAAATTATTTTGCGAGCGGGCACGCACGGAGTAGGGCCGGCGAAATTATTGAATCGCTTCGCTCATTCCGCCGGCCCGTGATATGGCATCGCTGGTTTTTGTCTGTGTGTTCGTTGCCCATGTTGCGCTCTTGGGGGCGGGTGTCGTTCGGACGCGTTGCGTGGGGAGTTTTGATGGTGAAGCAGTTCCCTGGGGGTCGTCTCTCGATGGGGCGAAATAGAGTCGTCGTCAAGATGCTTCTTTGGGGGGCCTCTTGGGGTCTGTTGAGAGGCCGTTCGGGGGCGCCTGGGAGACATGTTTGAAGCCTTCTGGGGCTTCTTTTGGGCCTCCTGGGAGTCTCCTGGGGCCTCTTGGCGACATCTTGGGGCCTCTTGGAGGCCTCTTGGGGCCTCTTTGGGACCTCCTGGGCGCCTTCTGGGACGGAGGGCTCCATTTTTGAGTTCTCGGTATCCCTCCTGAGTCCCTCTTGGGCCCGTCTTGGGGCCTCTTGGTCCGTCTTGGGCGGCACTTGGGCCGTCTTGAGGGCTCTCTTGGGTCGTTTCGGCGCCGTCTTGGGAGCTTCGTGGGCCGTCTTGGAGCGGTCTTGGGGGCCTCTTGGGCCGTCTTGGAGCGTCCGGAAGCCGAAAAAGCCAGAACACAAAAAACATCGAAAAAAACAAATGAAAATCAACGATTTTGGCCTCTTGGGGCTCTCTTCGGAGGCCTCTTGGAAGGCTCTTGGGGCGTCTTGGAGGCCTCTTGGGCTGTCTTGGGGGCCTTTTGGGCCGTCTTGGGGTCATCTTCGGCGTCTTCGAGCGCTCTTTGGGCGTCTCGGGGGCCTCTTGGGCAGTCTTGGGGGCCTCTTGGGGCACTCTGAGCGCGCTCTGGGGAGCCTGAGAGGCCGCACCCAGAAGGAAAACCATCTCTGAGTAGACTTGGTCGGGCGGCGGTCGGGCGGCGGTCGGGCGGCGGTCGGGCGGCGACCGGGCGGCGACCGGGCGTTGGTCGGGGTACTTTTCGCCGGGGGACCCCCAGGGGCCGCCCCGCGCGCGCGAACTAGAAATACTGTTAATACTGTTAACCAGTTACCGGAGATCTTAACACGCCCTGGCCCGTTGGGCCGGCGAATTTTTGAGGATGTCTCGAGCGAAACGCTTGTTTTTCAGAATTTGTTGAGGATGTCTCGAGCGAAACGCTGGTTTTGCAGAGTTGGGGATGTCTCGAGCGAAACGCTTGGTTTCAGAATTTGTTGAGGATGTCTCGAGCGAAACGCTGGTTTTGCAGAGCCGACCGCGACACGGAAAAGCGCTCCTCGCGCAGGAATTCCGAGGATGTCTCGCGCGTGCCGCGTCCCGCACGCAGGAATTTTGATTTCTTTGGGTTTTGACAGGATTTCTCAAGCGAAACGCTTGTTTTTCATAATTTGTTGAGGATGTCTCGAGCGAAACGCTGGTTTTGCAAAATTGGGGGATGTCTCGAGCGGGGGCCTCGTGGGGGGCCAGAATTCAGAGGATATCTCAGGCGCAATGCTTGTTTTCGTGTCCCGCTCGCAGGAATTCCGAGGATGTCTCGCGCGTGCCGCGTCCCGCGCGTAGGAATTCGGATGATTGTGATAGGATGTCTCGAGCGAAACGCTTGTCCCCAGCACGTTCAGTAGCGCGTCCCCTTGGCACGTCCCGCGTTGCGACCCCATGGCACGTCCCCTGGCACGTCGCCTGGCGCATCCCTTGGGACGTTTCGCGGCGCGTCCTCCTGGCATGTTCCCCTTGTCAATTAGCTCTGGGGCAGCTACTATGTGTTCAGGCAGCTCGAGCATAAGATCCAGATCAGTTCGGTCAGGACTCGGATGCAAAGGAGGACTCGATCCACGACGATATAGAGCACAACCGCGGCATGGCACATCGCAATTCAGCACGGTGCAGCACAGCACAGCCCTCGGCAGGGTACATCAAGATCGAGACACTCAGCATTGCAACTTGGCACGTTCCTTGGCACGTTCCGTGGTGCGTCCCTTGGCGAGTCCCCCTGGCACGTCGCGTGGCGCGTCCCCTGGCACATTCCGTGGCACATCCATTGGCACGTTCCGTAGCGCGTCCCTTTGGCACGTCCTACGGTGCGACCCCATGGCGCGTCCCCTGGCACGTCGCCTGGCGCATCCCTTGGGACGTTTCGCGGCGCGTCCTCCTGGCATGTTCCCCTGTCCATTAGCTCTGGGGCAGCTACTATGTGTTCAGGCAGCTCGAGCTTAAGATCCAGATCAGTTCGGTCAGAACTCGGATGCAAAGGAGGACTCGATCCACGACGCTATAGAGCGCAGTCGCGCCATGGCACATCGCAATTCAGCACGGCGCAGCACAGCACAGCCCTTGGCAGGGTACATCAAGATCGATACACTCAGCATTGCATTTGCCCGTCACCCAATCAGGTGTCTTTGAAAACGCTGCCATGTGTTACAGTTCTGTATTCCTTTCCGGGTTCGTGGGTCGATCATGTTTTCCCGGAAAGGGCGCCGGCCCAGGGTTCTTTTTTAGTGGGTTTACCCCCGGTTTTGACTTGAAGAGGGCCGGCTAAATTATTCTGCGTAAATAACGAGGTAAAGTGTTTTGTTTTTTGGAAAAATGCGTTTCGTGCGTGCCCGCTCGAGGAAAGTGCGCGTCCCATCTCGGATCCTCGATAAAAAAAGGTGTCCGCAGACTCCCGTTTTCCTTAGCTAAAAAAAGAGGGTGCGGAGCGTTTTTCGCAGAATCCTCGACTAATAACGGGGTCTGGAGCCCCGACCGCGACGCGGAAAAGCGCCCCGCGCGCAGGAATTCCGATGATGTCTCGCGCGCGCCGCGTCCCACGCGCAGGAATTTCGAGGATGTCTCGACAAATTCGCTTGTTTTGCTAGGATTTCTTAGAATTTTGGCAGCAGGTCTCGAGCGAAACGTTTTTTTACACAGTTTGTTGAGGATGTCTCGAGGGAAACGCTGGCTTTGCCAAACTTGGGGGATGTCTCGAGCGGGGGCCTCGTGGGGGGTCAGAATTCAGAGGATGTCTCATGGTAAGACATGGGTTTTGCTGTATCGTAGTGGTTAAGTAGTGGTTCTAGTCGCGTCCTAGTCGCGTTCTAGTCGCGGACTTGTTGCGACTAGAATTCTAGTCGCGCTCTGGTCGTGGGACCGTTTCGGGGTGGGGCGAGTAGAGCTGGGGACCGTTTCGGGGGAGGGCGAGTAGTGGGGAACGCCGCGCGCGGGGGGGGCGAGTAAAGGGAAAGCCCGCGCCCACCCAAAATCAAAATCCCAAAAAATCAAACCCTAATGTTTATAAACGCTTCAGCAGAGCTGCCTGAGGATCCACGAAGCGTGCGAGGGTTGCGCCTAACTGACCATTGGCTGGGACTCATCATCATCCTCATTATCAACCTCGCCGTAATCAACAGTATAATCACCATCA